TGAAACTCAGTTGTAGGGGCTGGTGAGATGGCTCAGTGGTCTAAAGCAGCTACTTAGAACAAGCTTAGCAAAGCACATGGACCACGGTTCAATCCCCCAGTACCACATGCCAGCCAGCCCCGCCCCCTGGTGGGCTGAGCTGGCTACACACACACACACACACACACACACACACACATAAATAAATAAATAAAATTAAAAAAAAAAAGAAACTCAGTTGTGGTATTGTAGAATTATTTTCACTGGGATTACCACTATTTCATCTAAATTAAGAGAGTCTCTTAAAGGTTATTACAATATGGACAATAATTATGTTTGTTGCAGAATAATCATTTAAATAATATGATAAACCAATAAATTATCCATGACTGAATAAATCTCTTCTAATCAGAAGACATCCCCAGGCTCTAAGCTAGAAACGTCCACATTTTCTTCGATCTGTTACCCTTTGCTCTCCCAAGCTGTCACCAAAGTCTTCCTGTCCTCCCACTCCTGTGGCACTGACACGCCTGTTCCTCCTGCATTTAGTAGATTGCCCCGCACCTCCATATGCCTCGTGCCCTGCCCTCCTTGTGCTCCCCTCCCTCCATTTTTCTCCCAGCCACCGTCTCTTTTTTCCTGTAGCTCCTAGTTTTGGTTCAGTTTCTTCTCTGACATTGGGCAAATGCGTTATGCCACAGTTGGCATTACAACTTGAAGGCAAAGTCTGCCCCTTCATCTGTTTTTGTAGAAAACGGTTACTGGAACATAACTATAGACATCTGTTGACATCCGTTGCCTGTGTTGTTCAACAGTGACAGAATTGAGTAGTTTGGACCAGATAGCATGCAGAGCCTAGAACATTTGCCAAAAAAGCTGATAGGTTCTTTCTTGACAGTAGCCATTAAAACTGTGCTCACGTTGTCTTACATTGTGTGTGTGTGTGTTGTGTTGTGTTGTGTGTGTGTGTGCGTGTGTATTTAGCTTCTTTGCTAGCTTGAGTTTTTCAAGTTCAGGGAGTATCTTTTACTCATCTTCTTGTTTCTACTTAGTGTAATGCTTGTTTTGTAAGAAAACCAGCAAATCCTAGAAGAATGTTGTTTAATAAAAACAGATATGGTCTGCAACGTGATGATAACAGTAACAGAAATAACAATAATGTCCATAGCCTGTGAAAGTATTTTATTTAATATTAGAGAAGGAATGAATCATTTCTGACAGTTTAGGCAAACTGTGAAAGGTCTGGAAAGTATTTGGAAGTGAGACTTTTTTTGTAATATGCCAGAAACTT